AAATAAGCAAAGAAACTTAAATACCAAACTCAGAGTGGTGGTTACTTTTGGGGAGGGAGGAAAGGAAGTTGGGGTTGGGAAAGGATACATAAGGGGCTGAGAGCTTCAGTTGTAGCCGTAAAGTTTTATTTCTTGAACTTGATGAGGGAGATGTAAGTTTTCGTTACTTGTTTTGGAATTTTTGTAAGGTTTCATAAATGTTTTTAGACAAAACTTCACTGATAAATGGGAATGATCATATTTAACAATCATTAGACATACAAATATCACTGCTGTTGTTTAGCAAGAAAACCCCAAGATTGTCTTTGCTAGCCAATGTGTGCCCTGGGCTCTTTGGGCCTGGGTAAGGAATGGCAGGGCCCAGCCCAGAGTCTAGAGGTATGGTGAATCAGACAGGTTAGGGTAGGAGGTGAGGCAGACCATGTTGATTCCAGTGGAATTGGCTCCAGGGCTGGACTGGCCAGAGAATTATTACTCCAAATTCCAGAGCCATCCAGTTCCTTTGGGAAACAAGGGCTTGGAGGGCTCAGATTTCCCCCAAATCTACTCAACTTGTCATATATTGAACTGAGATGGGACCCCAGATAGCCTGACTGAGAGCCTGTCTTGTCTGTACTACTTCCGTGTTCCCTTGCTGGTCTTCAACAGGGTCCCCAACGTTCTTCTTGCCCAGAGGCCTACAGTAGTGAGTCCTGTCACCAGGGTGGTCCATCATGGGGCAGCCCCTCACCGGAGTTTAAAAGTCAGTCCCCTATGCAGTTAGACCTAATGCTACACCAGGGGGAAAATTCAAAAGGAAAAAAATACACAATTTAGGCAACAGGGTTCCTAGCTGCATTAGTGCTAGTAGCAGTTAGTTGCCTGATAGTTGAGGAATGGTTAGGCAAATATGGTAGAATATCATGTGCCCATGAACAGGGGTGAGCATTTGAAATAGGCAGATCCTAGACAGTGTCCACAAGGGCAGCCTGCCAGGCATGGCCTGAAGTGCCAGGTTTGCTCCATGCCGTGTAAACACATTTGTGTACTATGGCAAGCGCTAGGAGTGGCTTAATGAGAGATGACTTGAGGGTTTATTGGATTCTTTTACTTTCTCCTATAAAGTTGTTTACATATATAATAAGAGTCAGATTAGAGATGAATTTATAGCTTCAGATACAAGAAGAAAAGATTTTTATCCGATAAATCTGTGGATGCGTATTTACTAACTCCTCCCTGTCTCCACACAAAAAAAGGGGGCGGGGATGCATCGGGATGGCTATCTTTATGATTTAGCACCGAGCTTAGCACCATGAACAGCCCCTGTGGCGCCTAGAGTCTGACAGGGCCTCAGTTGTTCTTTCATCCTCAGAATCGGCAGGTGGGTGCAGATGTGGGTCGAGGATTGGGCTTGAATCCCCAAAACCAGTGTGTATTGGGCTTTCCTTGCAAAAGGGACTCCCAGCATGCATTGGGAGAAGAGGACACAGCCTCCCCTGACCTCTGCAGGAGGCACCTGCCCCACAGGCACAGGCATGGGGCCGCTCCCGGGCTTCCACCTGAGCACCCTGTCCTGTTTGCTTACTTGTTCATTTATTCATGCATTCTCTCATCTGCTGAGCACTCTGTGCCATGCTATGGGTTAGGGACACAAAATGAGAAGATTCCATTCCTGGCTAAGGTCCTCTGTGAACTTCATCTTGAGACATGTCTTCTGTTCCCCACCTTACCAGGTGGTTTGCAGGCTCTTCTTGCCTGCCTTTTCCTCTTCTCCCTCCTCCCCAGCTCCATCATCTGTGGATTAATGTGAAGTTTAGACCATGCCAACTTTTCTGGGACAGCACATTCAGAGCCTCCTGTCTCATGGTAGGGCCTGCGCCTGGTCCCCTTGGAGAGCAGAGAGCAGAGGGTCTTGAGTGGGCTGCCTCTGATCCCAATATGCCAGGGGTTGGCCACCAGGTGCTAGTGCAATATGGGGGCTGCAGTTCAGCCTGAGGTGGGGGGGAGTGGGGGGGACGGGGGCGGCGACAGCCCCAGCGGCCTGTGACTAGACCGTGGTGTCAGCTGTGGCCCCAGACAGGAAACGTGAGAATAGATGATCCTTTGGGACCAGCTGACAGATAAAATGCCACATGCACAAGGTACTAAATATGGGCCGACTCTGCTGAGGCCTGGAAGTTCTGTTGCAGGAAGAGGGAAGGCAGGCTCATGGATTCTCTGCTGATGCCCAGGTGGCTGCCTCTCTCTAAGCTGCACTTTTTCTATCTGTGAAATGAGGGTGTTGGGATGGGGGGGGGTCCTTTGTAAGGTCCCCAGTGTAGCTCATTTCTTGCAGAGAATTTTGAATTTCTTTGCCTCCTCATCGCATCCAGTTTCAGACATGTGACCTGTGGTGTGGGTGTGATTATTTCCCACCTTCCAGATGAAGAAACAGAGATACAGAGAAGTGACTTCCCAAGGTCACACAGCGGATCTGTAGAGGACCCAGGATGTAGGCCCAGTTCTGTCTGACCCAAAGTCTATTCCTTTTAGACACTTTTATACTCACTCTGGTACCCTGGATTCTCTGACCTGGAGAAAGCTCATCTTGCACAAGCCCCTCATTTGTCAAAGATGATGAAGGAAGCCCAGAGAGGTGAAGCAACTAAAACCCGGACCCTCTCACCCCTAGGCCAGGACTTTTATATAGAGGCCTTTTCCCTTTAAGCAGTGAATTTATTCTTAAATAGGTAATTCATGCTACCTATTTAAGAATAGGTGCTACATTCTGTAGCACATGGTGCTACATTCTGATGATGCAAAAGGAAATACAGAGAAAAGCAAGCATCCTTCTCCCACTCCTGCACCTATAATCATGGGGCCTAGGGCTTCTCTGCAGACAGAGCCCAGCCAAGGCTTTTCGTAAATGCCATGTGCACTTCAGGGCTTGGTTTATTCTATTATATCTAGGGATGTGGCGCTGAGATACTTGCCTGCAGAACAGCAAAAACCTCTGACTTCATTATTGTTATTCAAAGTAACCAGGGTCGTTGCTCTCTGGCTTGCCTTAAAGCCAGCAAAGGCAATTGCCCATCCCCTGGGCTTTTCGTCTGGAAGAGACCATTGGCATCATTATTCAGTCCCCTCTCTCTTCAGGTAAGGAGCTAATGAAGACAACATTCCCATTGACACACAGCAAGTTACTGTGGTGTTGGGGTTTCAATGTCAGGAGTCTCCTCTCTTCCTCTGGCATTTCTGCTACTATGCCAGGCTGGCTCCTTTCAGTAGACATAGCATCATTAAAAAATACCACAAGTGCCCCTGTGGAGAGCAGAGGAGATAGCCATTAAAATTAGAAAAGCTTATGCTCTTTGGCCTAACATATCTACTTCAAGGCATTCAATTCTTCCTATAGACACACTCACAGGACAGTAAAATGATCTCTGTCCAACCTTATTCTTTGCAACACTGATTGTAATAGGGAAATATTGGAAGCAAACCAGATGCCTATGGATGGGAGGTAAGTTACATAAATTAGGGACCATCCACACAAACAGAATATGTGCAGCTGTGAAAAGACTGGGCCACTATTCCATGTGCAATAGGAACAGTCCCATCTTGCCAGGCATGGTGGCTCACACCTGTACTTTGGGAGGTGAAGGTGGGCGGATCCCTTGAGCCTAGGTGTTCCAGACCAGCCTGAGCGACGCAGTGATATGCTCTCATTTGTGTAAATAAAATAATACATTATTTGCTTTGCGGATGATGCCGTCGCTGCTGGGAGCCCCGTAATATCAGCCATGGTCAACCCCACCGTGTTCTTCAACATCGCCGTCGACGACGAGCCCTTAGGCCACGTCTCCTTCGAACTGTTTGCAGACAAGATTCCAAAGACAGCAGAAAACTTTTGTGCTCTGAGCACTGAAGAGAAAGGATTTGGTTATAACGGTTCCTGCTTTCAGAATTATTCCAGAGTTTATGTGTCAGGGTGGTGACGTCACACGCCATAATGGCACTGGTGGCAAGTTCATCTATGGGGAGAAATTTGATAATGAGAACTTCATCCTAAAGTATACAGGTCCTGGCGTGTTGTCCATGGCAAATGCCGGACCCAACACAAATGGTTCCCAGTTTTTAATCTGCACTGCCAAGATTGAGTGGTTGGATGGCAAGCTTGTGGTCTTTGTCATGGTGAAGGCATGAATATTGTGGAGGCCATGGAACGCTTTGGGTCCAGGAGTGGTAAGACCGGCCAGAAGATCACCATTGCTGACTGTGGACAGCTCTAATAAGTTTGACCTGTGTTTTATCTTAACCACCAGACCGTTCCTTCTATAGCTCAGGAGAGCACCCTCCACCCCATTTGCTCGCAGAATCCTCGAATCTTTGTGCTCTCGCTCAGTTCCCTTTGGGTTCCTTGTTTTCCTTGTTCCCTTCCATGCCTAGCTGGATTGCAGAGTTAAGTTTATGATTATGAAATAAAAACTAAATAACAAAATAATAATAATAGTACATTATTTGCTTCTCAGTGCATACAACATCTCTGGAAAGATCCAAAAGAAACTGGTAGTAGGATGCATCAAGGTAGCCAGGGGGCATTTTTTCAGTTTTGAACCATGTGGATGCATTATATATTCAAAATGTAAAACAAAAAACTCACAAGCATCTCTTACTTTTTCAACTTGAGGAAAAGAGAAGAAGAAGAAAGACATAAAGTCAGTGAAGATTAGCCTGGGTTCCTAGACTTGATCTTGATAGTAACCAGAATGTCAGGTCACATGTAGTGTAGGTCATAGGGTCCTGGCTTTTGGTTACCCATTGTTAGGCTCATATAACAGACAAGGAGGTGCCATTCTCCATTGTCTGTCCCTTTTACATCAGCTCATCTTGGCTCCTGATTTCCTAGGTCTGATATGGAAGGTTCCGGGATTTTATTATTTCTAGTCAACATCCCCTTCCCAAACCCCGCCCCTTGGCAGCTACAGCAGAGTCACATCTAGCCCAGGATCACATAAAAAGGGCTGTTTCTCCCCTGAGGACCAACTGTGTGGAAGCACCAGGCATCAGAGATAGTCCTCCCTGGCACTACAGGAGAGAATCTGAAGGGATGATGGACGCATCAAAAGGTGAGTGGGTGAAATCTCCATGGAGCCCCACGTGCCCCTCCAGCCAGCTGGCCCTAAACCGCTCTCTTGCCTCTGCCCGGTGCTTGGGGCCATTGCCCTCTCACCCTAATTTGTGGCCCTTGTGCTGCTTGCTCTCTGTCTCATCCCTTTTTAAAAAAACAAAACAAAACAAAAAACAAACTTTTCATTAGGCATAATTTCAGATTTACAAACAGATTGCAAAAATAAAAAGAAGAATATCCATATATCCTTTATCCAGATTCCCTAAATGATTACCGCATTTGCTTTATCCTTCTCGATCAATGGACAGATAGATGATACAGACAGATAGATAGATAGATAGACAAATATATATTTTTTGAACTCTTGAGAGTAAGTTGCAGATATTACATTATTAAATACTTTGGTGTGTATTTCCTAAAAACAAGGACATTCTCTTATGTAACCAATACAATTATGAAGACCAGGACATGAACACCATTTCAATACTGTTATCCAACCCACAGATTTTATGTAGATTTCACCGATTGTCCCAATAATGTCATTTATAGCAGAAGAAAATCCTAGGTCAGGCTTTGCATTCTGTTGTGGTGCCTCTTCGGTCTCCTTTGTCTGGAACAGTTCATCTGTCATTCTTGGAATTTTGTGACTTCATCACTTTTGAGGAGTACATACCAGTTATTTTGTAGAGTGTCTCTCAATGCGTCCTGTCCTTTCTCAAGGTCACCTGATGGAGTTTCCTACTGCAGAGGGTCTGTCTGCTGCTGTCAGCAGTGTCATGCTTCTCAGAGTGGGGAATAGCAGAGGGGGGGTCATGTGCCAAGCTCTGTGTGCCATGAGGATGCAGCCGCCTACCACCACCAAGAGCAGGCACCAGAGCCCTCACTTTTACTTCAGGGAGTCCGGGTGCTGCTAGGGAACAACACGGCTGGGTTTGAACCCCTCTGCCGACTCCCCAGCCCCCAAGCCCTCTGTGGCCTCCCAGCAGGGTCTGCTCAGCAGCCTCCTCTGTTGCTTGAAAAGTTGCTTGATAGCCAAGGAATGGCTACTTTGAAACTCTGCAAAGGGACTAAGCCAGACCCTCCTACTTTCCAGCTTCTCCTTTTTTATAGGGTGACATTTCTAAAGAAATCAGACTCTTCTTTTTAGTCCCAAGGCCACAGAGTTTTGAGTTCCTCCTTAGACGGCTGACGCCTCAGCTAGACTCAGCCTTGAAGGGTAAAGAGTCCTTGGGACTGAGAAAGGGTGGTGTGGTGTGATGGGAAGCACCTCCTGATAGGAGAGAAGATTCATGTCTCTACCATGCACTAAATGGCCCTGTGGCTTTGGGCAAGTCACATCAATTCTGGGAAAGTACTATGTAAATTACTGAGGACTACCTGAAGGAAAGGTAGTATCGCCTGACCCATGCTGTCATTCTCAAGAGATGCAACCTGCTCACTGGGGAGGTTTGACGACTTGCCTGAGGTCCCAGCCATGGGTGGCAGAGCTGGGACGCAAACCCGGTGTGTGTTCGTTTCATGCTGCACGACTCTGCCTCCCTGCTGGGCACAATTTGACTTTACTCTCAAGATCTAAATCACCAAAGACAGTCATCTCATGGCCACCAGTGTTGGGGTGTTGGTGGGGGAAGCTGACACTTCCTGAGGTGTCCTTTCTGATGGGCTTGTGCAAGTAACCATCACATGCTACCTTACAACATTAGCGAGTTGTGATGACTTCACGGTGTTTTCATGAATATTATGTCATTTTTTTCTTCCAACCACTCCGGGAGGTCAGGACATCCAAATAGGGACCTGGAAAATGGTGGTATGTGTGGGATAAAGATAGGATTTCATATAAGTGGAGGAAATGAGAAATTGTACAATTTGTGGTATTAGGACAACTGGTTAGTATTTAGAGAAAAACAAAGCCAGATCTCTATCTCATGGCTTATACCACAACAAATCCCAGAAAGGTCGAAGATGAAACTGTAAAGGCATTAGAAGAAAACGAAGGCAATATGAAAAATAATCTCGGACTGGAGAAGGTGTTACAAAGGAAAATAGAAAACCTAGAAACATAAAGTAAAAGAAAGGTAAAACTGACTGCAGAAAAATTAAAAATACATGTGAGACAAAACCTCCAGAGTCAGAAGGTAATGGAACTGTGAAGGGTACTTTCAACACATATGAGAAGCAAATGCTATTCTGTAGTATAAAAAGAGCTCTCAGATCTATAAGAAAATGGCCAACATCCCAAAATATACGTGGACAAAGAGCAGTATTAGGTAGTTCAAAGAAAAAGAAATATAAATTGTAATACATGAAAAGATGTTCAACCTTACTTGTAACGAGGGTGGTCATGAAACAAAACTGAAACAGCAGGCCAGGTGCGGTGGTTCATGCCTATAATCCCCAAATTTGGGAGGCTGAGATAGGAGGATTGCTTGAGTGCAGGAGTTCAAGACCAGCCTGGGAAACAGGTGCGGTGGCTCATGCCTGTAATCCCAACACTTTGGGAGGCCAAGCTGGGCAGATCACTTGAGATCAGAAGTAAGGGACAAGCCTGGCCATCATGGTGAAACCCTGTCTCTACTAAAAAATACAAAAATTAGCCAGGCGTGGTGGCACACACTGGTAATTCCAGCTACTTGGGAGACTGAGGCATGAGAATCACTTGAACCTGGGAGGCAGAGGCTGCAGTGAGCCGAGACTGCACTCCAGTCTGGGCAACAGAGGAAGACTTTGTCTCAAAAATAAATAAATTAATAGAAATAAAAATTAGCCAGGCATGTGGTGCACATGGGTAGTTCCAGCTACTCAGCTACTCAGGTTCAAGGCTGCAGTGAGCCATGATTGTACCACTGCAGTTCAGCCTGGGTGACAGGCCAAGACTCTGTCAAAGAAAGAAAGAAAGAGAGAAAGAGAGAAAGAGAGAAAGAGAGAAAGAGAGAAAGAGAGAGAGAGGGAGGAAGGAAAGAAGAAGGAAGGGAGGAAGGAAGGAAGGAAGGAGGGAAGGGAAGGTTGTATAAAAGCAAAACAGCAATGAGATTTCATTTTCTTCATTTATCAGATTAGCTAAGATTAAAAGTTTAATAGAAAATAGCTTTAAAAAGGTATCGTCCCATCTTTTTGTAGGAGTGTCACTGGTGCAGTCACTAGAAGGCTCTCTGGCAACATTTACTGAAATTAAAGATGCCCATATCATGTGACACAGCAATTCTGCTTTGGAAGATTTCTCTTACAAGTATTGTCCCACATGAGTGCAAAGATACATGTACAAGGAAGTACATTGTAGCATATAAGATTTTAAACGATCTACATGTCCATCCAGAGGGATAATAGCTGCTAAAAAAAAAAAAAAAAAAACAAAACAAGGTTGAGACCAGCCTGGGCAACACAGGGAAACCCCATCTTCACAAAAAATGAAAAGCTTAGCTGGGCGTGGTGATGCATGCCTGTAGTGCCAGCTACTCAGGAGGCTGAGGTGAGAGGATTGCTTCAGCTCAGGAGGTGGAGGCTGCAGTGAGCTGTGATCACACCATTGCACTTCAGCCTGGGAAACGGAATGAGACTCTGTCTCAAAAAAAAAAAAAATTAAAAGAAAATAATAACAAGATCTAATTGGGTGGTTAGGAGATAAATTTCAAGATATGTGTGTGAGAGAGAAGTAGGGGGAGAAACAGAGAGAGAGAAGCAATGTGCAGAACAGTGTATTGAGAAAGCTCCTGTTTCTGTAACTAAAGTATTGGTTTATGGCAGAGAAAACTGGAAAGATACTTAGATGCTTTATAGTGATTTTCTCTGGAGAAAAGATCTGGGAGTCTGGGATAGGAGAGAAACTTAATTTTTGTAATGGGCATTTATTACTTTTATTTATTTTTATTTTATTATTATTATTATCATTATTATTTTTGAGACAAGGTCTCACTCTGTCACCCAGGCTGGAGCCCAGTGACACAATCTTGGCTTACCGCAGCCTCCAGTTCCCAGGTTCACGCGATTCTCCTACCTCAGCCTCCTGAGTAGCTAGAATTACAGGCATGTGCCACATTACTCAGTTAATTTTTTATTTTTAATAGAGATGGGGTTTCACCATATTGGCTAGGCTGGTCATGAACTGGCCTCAAGTGATCCACCTGCCTTGGCCTCCCAAAATGCTGGGATTACAGGCGTGAGTCACTGTGCCTGGCCTCCTCTTTATCCTATTTGTGATTCTTTATGATTCCTAAATAAGAGGATTCATGTCTCTCATGCATTTTGGAAAGTTCTCAACCATCACCTCTTCACTGCTGCTCCCCATTCTTGATTCTCTCCTTTCAGAACAACTATAATATATAGTTTAGACCTTTCCATCCAAGACTCCACGTCTCTAAACTGCTTTTCATATTTACTTCTATTAATATTTCTCTAGGTTGTATTATAGGTATTTGTTTCCAGTCTATTTTCTAGTTCACTGATTCTCTTTCAGTTATGTCTATTTGCTATTTAACCTGTGAGTTTTTTTCATTTCGAGAACCATATTTTCATTTTTAGAAGTTATGTTTTAAAAAATTTATCTGGTCATTCTTAATAGTGGCTTATTCCTTTCTCATCATTTTGATTTCTTCTCTTATGTCCCTAGCCATCTTTGACTTGGCTATTTTATGGTCTCTTTCTCTCTGTCTCTGTCTCTGTCTCTCTCCCTCTCTCTTTCTCTCTCTCTCTCTCTATATATATATATACACACACACACATAGTATATATGTATATATGTGTGTATATATACATATATGTATATGTGTGTGTGTATATATATATTATATAATTTTTTTTTGAGACGGAGTTTCACTCTTGTTGTCCAGGCTGGAGTGCAATGGAGTGATCTCGGCTCACTGCAAGCTCCGCCTCCCGGGTTCATGCCATTCTCCTGCCTCAGCCTCCTGAGTAGCTGGGACTACAGGCGCCCGCCACCACGCCCGGCTAATTTTGATTTTGTATTTTTAGTAGAGATGGGGTTTCACCGTGTTGGTCAGGCTG